TTTTTGTGTACTTGCAAGAGAAGCCCTATTCATTCACAGTTTACGCTGGGAAACCAGTGCTGTATCCTCGGGGCTGGAGCTGCTTTTGTGGCAGCAGTCCTGAGCGGGAACCCTGTAGATGGGCTAGCTGAACCGGGGTTGTTCTAGAGTCACAACTGGAACGAAACAGCCATCCAAGAAGGACAAAACACAAGTGTTTCCTCTTAACGCGCTCAGTCTTTCCATTGCTGCTATTCATAAATAGTAGATTTTAGTCACCAGCAGAAAGTCCACAACAAAAGCCCATTCAAGCAAAGTTTGAGAACAAATTCCCACATCTGATAACAGAAAGATTTGTCTCAGGCTTTGCCTCGACTTGGTTTACGTGCTGAATCATGTTTGCTGCCTCATTCTAAAATTATATTTGGGCGAGCTGCAAGGTGAGCACATGCTACTGTGGTTGAATAAAGCCAGGCAAGAAGCAAGAAAAAGAGTTTCTGCCCTGCATGTGATTGCATTTGTGCTGCCTATAGAGTTTTCATATTTTTGTTCCATGTAGTATTTCAGCACATTTTTGCAGCTAGTGAAAATAAGATACATCATAAACCACTGGGAAGGCACTAGCTAATCTGGCAGCAAACAGGGTATCTGTTTTCTGTATTGAATCTTTGATGACTCCCTTCCTTGATGCAGCAGCAAAGGTGCCTGAGCAAGGACGCGTGACCAGAGGCAGGAGGAGGTGGTAATGCTGCGTTAGCTTTGACAAGTCTTTGTCTGGATTGTGTTGATTCCTGGATGCAATAGTGTCAAAGATGCACACAAATGGGAAGGAGAGCGCAGAAAGCGCAGCCGAAGGGGCCTGGCTTATACTAAAGCAAAAGGGGCTGAATATTTATAACTTTTCTTTTGGAAATGCCTGGCAGTTTGTGGGTGGTGGAAACTCAGGAGAGGATAAGCAGCAGGTCTGTTCCCTGAGAAGTGTTGCGGAGAAGACCCTCCCTGGCAGACCAAGGCTGAGCAGCCTTTTTGGCAACGTGAAAACCCGGGTTCTCCTGTCTGAACACAGCCCTGTGAGTCTGAGCAGATGAAGACTTCAGGGAGTCAACAGCACTTCTTAAGCCGTGGCTTTGATTCAGCAGAGCATTAAGCACCGCTGAAGCCCCAGAGTCAGTGACTGGAGGGAGTGGAGTCTCGTTACCTCGCTTCATGCCTGACTATAGGCACCGCAGGGCTTAAAAACGGTTCTGCAAACGCCCTTTCCCTGGGCAGCCTGAGTCACGGCTGCGGCTGAGGCGCACCCCATGCCTCCCGGCATCCCTGGAAAGGCCCTCCCTGGCCTGGGGGCTTTGGGGCAGTGCCAGCGGGTGGGGCACAGAAACCTGCAGGGAAGCTGGCCCTGGCTCAGTGCCGAGCTCGGCCCGCCGTGTCTGCTGGGCAGGTGGCAGCCTGTTACAGACAGCAGTGCAGGAGCTGGAGCGGCCACTGGCTGCTTGAAAATGCAGTCCTTGTGATCCAAACAGCTTGTGCTGCTCTGCCTAATTGCAATGAGTGGACATGACACATTGCAAATTCCCTCCAATAATCTTAAAAACACTGTTTCTCAACTCAAAAAATGCAAATGTTGGGCAGGCTTTGGCCTTTTGCAAAATGCTCAACACTTACCTGACCAAACAGCAGCAAAGCAACCCATGCTGCAGTGCAGTTTGCCTGGGATTTCAGTGTGTTTTATGAAATGGATTTGTGTTTGTACAGCAATAGAGGGTGCACAGAGTTTCAGTGGGGTGACTTCATTTGATTGTTGATGCATTCATGAAAGAGGGAGTGATGTCTAAAATTAAAGACCCTTAAATCCAGGATTTCCTCTCTTCTAATAATGCTCAGCAGTCTTTGTTCATATGTGGTGCAATTCTGACCATGGCGATAAGAAATGCAAGTAGAAACTGCTTCAGCTAAGTGTAAAACAGTTTGCATAGGCTTAACCTTTATGAAAATATTACTTTCTGTTCTGCATATCTACTCCAGTGAGTTATTTAATATTATGGAGAATGTTATAGCTCTTTAGAATACTTTGCTTTGGTCCCAGAGACCTTTGTTAAAGGCTAATAGAAGCCAATGCAGCCTTTGCTAAAGGCTGTGTGTGTGTGTGTGTGTGTGCGTGAGTGTGTGTTTTATCCAGGGATCTAGGGAATCCTGTAAGTACTTTTCTCTGTTTCTTTTTGTCTTTAGAGTTTTGTGACTAAAGTGGAATCCAGAAGTCTGCAACACGATCAAAATGTCTTGGTCCATTAGAATTAAATCTAACACTTTGCCCAACTGGTTGGGGAGAAACAAGACCCAAAAAAAAATAATATGAGAGGTTAAAATAGAGCCATTAAAATGGCAACACACAGGCAGCCCATGTATAAATATAGGCCAGCTCTTCAGCTGTGTTCTTATATGGCAGACCTGGGGAAAAGAGAAATGTCAGCGTACTCTTAATCTCTGCAAGCCTGCGTGCTGGTTATAAAGGTCTGGTGCCCTATGTTTGGTATTAAACAGGACCGTATATTGCGTGGTCATTATAATGACTCTCACCTTTGCTCATTGCAGGGACCTGCCTTGCTGGATTGAGACAGGGATCACACAAGCATACTGTGGATTTTTTGTCTGTACAGGCTACATGATTGTGGTCTATTTTTTACCGATCCACTCTAAAAGAGAGAAGAAGAATCAAGTGAAAATCATCATCTTGTCACCTCTGCCTGAGAGCTGGCTGAATTTTATGACGCCTGCTGGGGAAACTACCTGGTCTGTTAGCAAGGGAGCAGCTGCGACTGCGTCTCTGCTCGCCCAAGCTCCCCGCCTGGAGTACAGTGATCGAGTTGCTTTAAGTCAAACCATATGTGAGTTGCACTAATTGCTGTAACCATATTGCAGATACCACTCCAGACTTCTCTAGGCGTTTCCAAGACAGTAGTTTCTCATGTAGTGTGAATATTTTCAACTGACATTTGAATGTTTCCACTCAGTCTGGTGTGGCTGTGAAAAGTGGAGGGTGATATTTTTCCTGCTAAATTCATGGTGAATTTTGAAGCCTTCCTATCAAGTGGGATCCATGATATGGCAGCAACCTACAGGCTCATGGTCACTACTGTGAACTGCTACGGCAGCGTGGTAATTGACCGTCACTTTCAGCACACAGTGCATTACTGCACGGGGACTTGCCAGCTCTTTAAGCAAGATGTTGCATGTATAGTTGCTCATCATAGTGTTTGTGCGGCGCTCAATGTTCAAGATGCCACCTTAGACCATAAACTTCCTGTTTCTGAAAATGGCTTTGCCTTGTCTGGAAATGAGGACTATCAGCAAATCCTCCCAAGTAATCCAAGGCTCAAAAAGGGATCTTCAGCACAAGCCACTGGCAGTTTAAAAGACATTACTGGGGAGGCAATAAACCTTGCCAGTGGTAAAATAAAGGAATTCTCCTTTGACAAGCTCAAGAACTCTTCCAGTCATGTGGCCTACAAAAAGGGGAGGAAAGTTCGATCCGAATCATTCAGACAATCTTTTGATTTTGACTTGATTTATGGACACTTTAACAATGATGAGAATTGCCCTCCATGTGGCTTTTTGCAGAGCCCCTCGCCTGGGGAGAAGTGGCAGGAGAGCAATGACTCTCCCGAAGTCGGCCTGAATTCCATGGCTCCCTTCACCCCGCAGTCCTCCTTAGAAGAAAACATCATTACCCAGATTTTGGAAAAACACAAGCTGGATGGGTCCTCTGGTGGAGATATTAAGGTGTGCTTAGACATCCTGCTCAAGTGTTCAGAGGATCTGAAGAAGTGCACAGACATCATAAAGCATTGCATCAAAAAGAAGTCTGCAGGCAGAGTTAGTGGAGGGAACAGCAATGATTCCCTGGCCAGTTCCGAAATGATATATATGAATCTGATGACAAGATTTTCTTCATACCTAAAAAAGCTCCCCTTTGAGCTCAAGTCTCCTGGGCTCAAGGAAGCTGGTGACTTGGCAGACTTGCTTAACTGTTTCCATGGATTGCAGCAGGCTCCCTTTTCCACAGTATTTGGAGATGAGCAACCCCCCAGGTATGAAGATATTATCCAGCTACCAGCTTCAGGAACAGCTCCTCTCAGCCCGCCAGGTGACCAGGGTGACGTGACAAGCACCACTCAGTCCAGCCAAACCAGCACTTTGAGCTTGGCCTCAAACTCCCTGCCCGGTGTCACGCAGGAGAGCAGTGTGAGAGCAGTGAAAGATGCTTGCGCTCTACCTCAGTTACCCTCCACAAGCCCTACTGACTGCACGTCTTCCACAGAGCCTCTGTACATTGAAGAAGAATCAGATGGGGAAAGAGCATTAAAGAAGGTAAAGAAAGAGGAGAAAGGCAGCTGGGAGGGTTTAGAGTGCAGCTCCCACCCAGATGTGACTGCCAATGTTAAAGCAGAGCATGCTGCAGGGGGAGCTGATGAACTAGTCCACACTTCTGAGAAAATGACTTTCCTAAAACCAGTTTCAGATTCTGTGCTGGGTGGTGATGCCTCTAAAGTAGGAGAGATGTGCAGCAAGATGGACAAAGATGAGATAGACAAACTGCTCCTGGACTTGGAGTGCTTCTCGCAGAAAATGGAGAGTACTTTGAGGGGACCCTCTCTAAAGCTGAGTGAACCTGCCCATTTGCAGGTGTTTGACTGGCAGAGTAGGCAGGTACTACCTCTGTCCCTTGAACCTAAAAGTGAACCCAAAAGCAAACCCATTGATCCCCCTAACCCTTTGTCAAAAATCATGGAAACCAATGGCCATAAAATTGAAGACGACGACAAAGCCCTCTTACTGCGGATCCTCGAAAGCATTGAGGACTTTGCCCAAGAGCTGGTGGAATTCCAGGCAGGCAAAGGAAGCTTGTCCAAGGAGAAGGAGGTGATGAGGATTCTTCAGGAGACTTTAACCCCTCCGTCGCAGTCCCTCCTTGTAGGGCAAAAAAGCTGCACTGGGAATACCCCCAAGGACTCCGTCCCAGCTGCGATTCAGCAGGCCCCAGAAGTGATCAAGGTAAGATCCAGGCTTCTGACATGAAGTAAAGTGAGTGGGAAAGCCCTCGGCTTGGGCTCTTGTTATACCAGAGCTGTGGCCACCCACTTGAGAAGACCCTTTCCAGCTCTAGGGTTTAGGGAATAACTGCGTCTTCCGGGATACCTTTGCCTCTAGCCAGAGCCCCGTATAGTGTCTGATTTAGTAATTCATGTGCATGCCTGAATAATATGTAAATATGTTGCATTTCCTTAGGACTTTTAAAACTATTATCAAGTACTTGCACGCGCACACACACAAAATCCGATCTAACACTGATGAAAACACACTGCAGCTTCCAGTGCCAAGGTTATGGCAGTTTTAATACCTCTCAAATCCCAGGCAGTGCAAAGGGAAAGGGAAGGCTGCTTCAGAACAGACTGCTGGCTAAACGTGGCCTGTCTCTGTTGGAACAGGGGGCTAACTTATATCAGCAAGAGACTGTCCCTCTGTCACAAACCCACTTATGGTTCTCCACAGGAGAACAATAGAAATACTTGCCTCTTCCCTTTCAAAACCAAAATATTCACAAACTGGGAAATGAATACTCTAAAAGCCCATCGATTTTGTGGAGCACATAATGAGCACATGGAACTTGCCTGAGGTGGGCCAGGAAGCACTACCTGCTTCAGACTGTCTGACACTTCCCATTCTGAGATCCCATTTTCTGTTGATTATCTCTTAAACCTCTATTTGGTTTAAAATTTCCTGTCCTGTGTGCCCATCTTAAACTACTTTTTTTTAATATGGTGTTTTTAAAATAAATGTTTCAGTGAAAACAACTTAGCTGCCTTTAAAACGGTAGAAAAAAAACATTTTTCTGAAATAATAAACAAGTAGAGGGAGCAAGATTTGTAGTGCAAGATGAGGTTGTTTGTTTTGTTTCAAGATTTATATTGTTAGAAAAAGGGAACATGTTTGCATGGATGAGCTCCTTCCGTCAGTCTCTGTGACTGCAAATGTGAAGTCCCCTAAGATGGTAAAGAAGGGTTGGAAACCACTTAATCTCTGGGCTTGATGCAAAAAGGCACCTTTTTATGTGTTCCTCTGCTGGGTGTCTTTTCTCAGACATTGCTCGTGGTGCAGGGAGCTCGAAGCAGCAGTCCTGCTTCCCGCTTCTTCCTTCCCCATGCCTCCGCTTCCCACTGTGTGGCTTTGGATCTACTCTGGCACTTAAATAAACTCTAAAAAGTGGCTTCTGTAGCATCACAGCAGCTTAAACTTTGACCTGACATAATTGCACTTTGAGAAAATGCCTTCGAAATGTAATAGAAAACTTATCTGGAAAGTCATTTTCATATGCACAAGCTTAAAATTGTTTTGATCAGATGTTGATATTATCTGCCAATTAAGCTGTGCTCTTTTTCAGACAGGAATTGTTCACACTTTCTAAGCCCAGATGGTTTTTTTAAAAAAGACAGTTTTGTATAATAGCAGTTATTAAAATAAATGAAAATAACAAATGAATCTTAAATGAATCTTAAAGTATCTCAGGATAAAAGATAACAGGAAAAAAACAGAAATTAGATTAATAAGAATTGAAAGAGCTAATCCTGGACACGTAGGTGGATGTTCACAGCCCATGGACTCTCCTTGTAATTAAAGGGCGATGCACAGACTTTGCCTGTGTGAAGTTGGTCTATTTTAAAGTAAATATCAAAAGGTAAAACAAGGCCTTTTGATACATGTTGAGTTTTTCAGCTTCATTGGCTCTAAAAGCAACAAGAAGTCACGCTGCTGCTGCTGAAGTTGAATATGTTTTGGAAACAGTTGGAGCTGGTGCCCTTTGCAGCTGTACAGAGTGCACTGAATTGTTGCAGCCAGTCCTGGGGGTACAGCTAAGTCCTGTGATAATAAAACAAATCCCAGCTGGACTAAACCCCCTGGATTAGGTGCAGGTGGGATTCTTTCATGCTTCAATTGTCATGGAAAACAATATGATTCCTCTTAAAATCTGACATCTCCCGCCTTCATGCTTTAAACTGGGTCACTTGTCGGAAAGAGTAACTTCTAAACATGACGGTCTTTTTTCACTTGGTCCATAAGCTGTTGATGCAAGGTTTTTATGCTGCAGATTTTGTCCAGGTTCAGAATAAGCAAAGGGAGGCTGGTCTCTTCCTGCTCGAGGTAGCTGAGACCTGGAGCTCCTTGCTACAGGGCGCTGCAGTTACAAAAGATCTGCACTGTTTAAGAAAGTGTGCAAATCTGTGATGGTCAGAGCAAATCTGCGGTGGTTGTGCAGATCTGTGATGGTCAGAGCATCCTTTGGGAGAGGCTGCTGTCTACCTGTAGCCCAGGGAGTTTTGCAGGTTTTTTGGTCCCATACAGGTTCTTTCAGCAAGACTCAGTGAGACCTTTTCAGCAGAGTTTCAAATGGAGTGTTTTATTAACAACAAACCTGCTGGCTGGGGCCCAGGTGTTGCTCTTTGTTGTGAGGCTCAGAAAGCCAGCTGGCAAAGTGGGACTCCTGCCATCAAGCAGCAAAACGGATCGAGGGATTCGGTGCTCGCTTGTCTTGCAGAGTGAGAGCTGGACACAGGTTGTTGTTAGGCATAGAGCTCAGCACTGCTGAGCGATTAGGAGAGGGTGAACATGCTCTTAGCAAGCCTAGACCAAGTCTGAGCAAGAGTTTTAAGCATGATCGTGTGTAAGAACAGACTATTATCTCTTTGGCTCGTAGAGCAACCTGTGTCTTGAGAGAGTTATGGGAAAAGTGAAGAGGATGACGTGTTTTGGTGTCATTCTAAAACCATTTGATTAAGAACTGCTTCAGAACGCCTGAGTTTATTTTACGAGGCTGTCCTTAAGTGCTCGTTTGGTGTTAAAGAAACTAGATGATTTACTTTTTCCAACCAAGAAGGAAAAACTGAGGTTTTTTTCCAAAAATTATAGCCTCTGGTCTGGAATGGAGATAATGCTGCTCTCCTGCTTCATCACCTCAGAAGCAGGGACCTCAAGCCACCACCACCACTCGCGCGCACGGGGGCTGCTGACTCCAAGTGTGAACCTCGGCTTTCAGCCCTGAGGCACATAAATAAGAACTACTGGGGAAGAGGGTATATTTAGCCACTTCTGCAGCATGGCTAATTTTAGTGCCCTTGGTAGTGGTGGTGGGTGCTTCCTTTCCCGTGCTTTCCTTTCCCCTGGCCTATTGCAAGCCAAGGACAGATTGTCTGTCATGCAGCCAGCAGGGAAATAGATTCTGTTGTAGATCATGTTTCTCAATTAAAGTGGTACGAGAAGGCAGAAGACCCTGGTGGTACTGAAAGATACTTTGAATATTGATTTAAAAAAATAAATAAAAAAGGAGGCCAGGTCTCAGGAATGAGATACAGTCTTTAGATGCCCTCCTTGGGAGGGGAGAGAAGACGTAGCATGGTTCTACACAAGACTTTTTTCCATATTTTGCCTGTAAAAATCAAAGCCAAGGAAGCAACCTACTGGGTTTGACGTGGCTTCCCGCAGAGTCCCCGTGCCTCTTCTGGAGAGGGAAGCATCCGCTTAGGAGCTCACCAGGATGATGATCAAGGAGAGTTCTCTGCGGATGGACCCAGACTTAGGAGGGGAACTAGCTTTCCTTGCAAAAGGCTGCGATTTTGTTCTTCCGTCTCGATTCAAGAAGAGGCTGAAGGCATTCCAGCAGGCCCAGGTTTGGACACTCCGTGTTTTGTTTGCTTTTTCGATTGCTTTGTATTTTCTTTGATTGGATTGGAGACTCAAACTGTGTCCCCTCGAGCGTTTCTATTTGCAGAAAGTTATTTGCAGCTAGATACCAGCAGGTTTAAAAATAAACCTTCCCGACTTAGAGTTCAGAGTTAAAGTGTCTTTGTAAACAAGGGATAAAATTTAACTGCAAGGGCAATGATTTAATAGGGAGAAATAGTTGAAGGCTGTTAAGTCTTCGTTGCTTTTTTTTTGTGAAGAAAAGCTCTATTTATGCATGCTGCTTTGATTGCTCCGACTGTCTTGTGCCGCCTGTAGAATGACCACAGCGTTCCGCCGTATTGACGCAGTTGTTGACTCGGTTGTTCTTTCTGCTGTATGAATTTGTGCATCCTTTCAGACAGTGCACATCCCTGTTAGGAAAAAATGTATTCCAGTAAGCGAGCAATGTTTAAGGGTGACTTTTTTCAACAAGAAACAGCATGTACCCCCCCGTCCCCCAAGGAGCTGCCAAAGAATTTTCCTACCTCTCACTTCTTTATTTTTCACAAGTGGTTTCACATTTGTAACAAACTCCCTGCTGCCTTTGCAGGGGCCGCCACCTCATTATACCCATTCTGGAAGATGCTTCTCAAAATGATGCAAATTTAAAATCCACTGGAAAGATTGTGCTAGGGAACCATATGCTCCTAAGCTATTTTCCCCTCATTTTTTGTTCACGTTGCTGTACCTTGTTCCTTAAATGAGGAAGAGAAAGACAAGCTTCAGAAAATGCTCTTTCTATTCCTGCAGTAGGACCTTTGGAGGGAAAAAAGCCACTCACAAGCTCTGCCCCTACCTTGTTTGCCATGGACTGAGCAGGAGTTGGCAGCTCAGCCTTCCTGGGAAGAAAGCAGCAGCAAACCCGGGTTTAAACTGGTTCCCTTCTTCTTAGCAGCAGAGGCTTAGCAGCATTCCCTGTGTCCACGCGTAGATGTCCAACTTCTGCTTTGGATTCGGGCTGTGGATCAGGAGATAACTGTAGGTTCTGGGGGCCTGACTTCTGGCTCATGTGGGCCTGAGGTCAGGAGATGCAAGGAGCAATAAACCCATTTCTGAGAAGTATCTTCAAGACAAGCATCACTGTTAGAGGAGCTAAGCGGTTGATCCGGCCCCGCAGCGTGTTCCAGCTCGGTATTGTTCGGCCAGACGTAATCCCGCAAGACTCCGGCGGGGATTTCCCTTGGCTGGAGCTCTGGGAGTAAAGCCACGAGAGTCTGGGCATGGCTGGAAAGCTCCCTGGCGAGGCAGGGCTGGGGTGGTGGGAGGATTCAACTCCAGTGTTAGTACAAGCAGCAGCTCCGTTACTCTGCCCCACAGCCCTCTCCAGCCCCATAACATCTTAGTTTGGAGCTTCAGACCCCTGGGTCCTCCCTCATGGTCCCCTCTGAGCCCCAGCATCACTCTGGGTTAGGCACAGAGAAACGCAGCCTGTGATGGAGCAGGAAAAGTCAAGGAAGATGGGAGGCAGAGCGGGTGGCAGGGACCAGGATTGCTCTGCTGAGGCCCATACTGACCCTAAAAATCCCTACCAATAAAATCGGGAATCCTGAAAGCTGAAAATAATCTTCATCAGTTGGCAAGATGTGGGAGAGGAGGAGGATTTAAAGAAACCTCAAAAGGCTCCAAGTTCAAATATTGCGTACGGAACGGTCACAGTATGGAAGTGCTTGGGCTGCCTATGTATACATAAGGGCACAGGTTCCTGCTCCTGAAATGGGACAGCAAGGGGAAAAGAAAGAGATTCTTGCTGCTGAAAGAAAGAGGAGGGAAACAAGTAAAAAAATCCCTCTGCCTCCTGCTTTACAGGTCTCTGAGGACCTGCTTAGGAACTATTTTAATTTGCAGAGAAACCAGGGCTTGGAAGCTTTCACAGTTCTCGCCTCTTCCCCTTTGCAAAGGTAAACCAAGAGCATGTTGGTATATCCAAAAAGTTCCATGTTCCCAGAAAATAATATGGCAAAGAATTTGATTCTGTTTGTCATATATGGTCCTCTGTATTTAGTGAATTTAGACTTGGCTATTTCATCCTAAAACAATTGTTTTGAAATACTAGGAATAAATGTAACAAACCTAAAGTTGCAGCAGTATTTACTTTTGTTTCCTTACTAGCCTCTTATCGCGTGCTGTTATAGTAATAATAAAACTCCTGCACTTGAACCACTGTGCAGTAGCAAGTCACTCACCTTTACCCAAGAAACATGAGTCTGCATGGCAGGGGTGGAGAAATCACCCTTCCTGGGCCTTCCAGCATCTCGCTGCAGCTCATCCTGTAATGATTTCCTAAAAGTTTCCATGTCTGAAAAATTAGCTATTTTAGGATGTCATTATTTATATAAGGAATACAAATAGCCTCAAAGCCCTGCTTTCCTCTACCCCGTATCAAAAGCGTTCATGAACAAAGATAAGAAGATTTAAGAGGTCTGACAAAAAGACGAGGGCTTGCAGAAAGATTATTCTTTCTCAGTTGGAGCCGTAGCTGGATCTTCTGTACACTCTACCAGCTATGTCCTGGGGCTGCCCGATGACTTTTAGCACTCCTGGCTGCTCATAATTGCTAAGATACATGGCAAGGCCAGCACTACATCTTTTAACACAACCTGCGAGGTGATACTTCATTTGGCAAAAGGAATGATATTCCTGGGAGGTGAAAAATGGTGGTGGTGTGAAAGTCACTTTGCTCATATATGTGGCAAGACATTTGTGTGTGCAGGGTTCTGTTTCTAAGGGGGAAATAACTGATGAGCAGCTTTTGATGCTGTGTTCTTTATGGGCCAGGATGACATAAGAATGTAAGAAATGCAGAACGTTGTCCTTATTCTAGGGTACTGCTAAAACTGTAGTATATGTGCTCCTATAATTAAACAGTGTAACATTATGTGGTTACCTACATAAAAAGCATAGGAACTGCATAAAAGCAACTTTACATCTGGCGTGTCCTAAATTTGCAGTGTTTGACGTTGCAGTAATTTTCGTTGGGTTTTAATTCTTTCTTCATCATCTAGAATACAAGCTATTTTCCTGGAGCTGGAGTAGATCTCCAGAGGTCCTTTCCAGCCTCATTGATTCTGTGATCCCTCTCTGCTCTTTATTGCCATGCTGCTGAAAAGTGTTTATGTCCCTCCTCTTATTTTCAGGTTCAAAACAAACCAGAGAAGAAACCGGGAACTTCAACCTCAGCCCCCTTGAACTCAGTGCTTAGCCCCTGTGCTCTTCTGCCTGTGAATAAAGCCACCAGCAGCGCCCCTTTGCCCATAAACATTCCACGTTTCTACTTCCCCAAAGGACTTCCGAGTGCCTGCACTAACCACGAGGAGGTCATCGCCAGGATTGAAGAAGCCTTTGCAGAGTTTGAAGATGAGAAAGCAAATGTCTGTGAAATGGGGAAAATTGCTAAGGTAACTTCGGGTTTTTTATTTTATGGAGAGAGATACAGACTGAAAGTAAAGCTAGCAAAATAACTTGCAGCAAGTGGAAAAAAGTAGAAAAAGAACCAATATGCTTTGGCTGTTTTGTATTCCTCTTTTTTTCCTGTGTTTCACTGCAGATCTGTGGCTGCCCACTGTACTGGAAAGCACCTATGTTCAGTGCATCAGGAGGGGAAAGGACAGGACGTGTATCTGCACACTCCTTTGTAACCATGTGGAGAAAGTGAGTAGAGCAGAATGCAAAATTTTCCTTTTCGAAATAACACCAGCCTGCCCTACAAGTCTGTCTTTTTCTTCCACTAGACTTTTCAAATCATTGTCCCTTCTTTAGAGTAAAATAAAGCACTTAAAATCTCCATAGGCTTAAATTTTCTTCCCTTTAACTTCCCGAACACCTGCTTGCTTTAGTAGTTTTTGTTACTATTCTTCTCAAGCATAATGCATAATAAACTTGGGGGTTTCACTGTCACTTTGACATGCTTTAGTCAAAACTTCTTTTTGAAATCAAGGGCTTTGTATATATGATGCTCAGTCAGAGGTGTGAGGTGGAACAGAGACACTCTTTTCTTAATCTGTGTTCTCTCCATGGTGATTCAGTCTGACTTTACTCTGCAAAACACCTGAATGATGTCTCCACTTCGTATTTGGAAAGAGTACTTTTTGACTTAGTGGTCACTCTTTAGCTTCTTGAAATGGCCAATAACCCTGAGTTTCCAAAATATTTCCTGTGATGCTATTGTCCAAAAACGTTCTAGTTGCCCTGGTAAAACTGCAAAAAATGTCACTGTGCTCGCTAAGTTCTTCTTGACACAGACAACTTTTTTTGTTCCTTGTGTTCCTCCAATCAGTTCCAATTAATCTCTTGTGTATGATACAGCATAATTTCACTCTCTCTGACCTGCACATCCTTCAGATATTTGCAGACTGTGGTCATTCCCCTCTTCTGTCTCCTTTCAACCACAGCATTTCCAAGCCATTTTTGTAAGCTTTCCTAACTTTAATTGCTCCTTTAGAAAGTTTTCGTTTTCCTCCTCCTCTGGTCTGCCAGGTCCAGAATTCTTCTCAGAAATGTGATAGTCACAAATCAAAACCACGTTCTAACCATATGAGCACAGCCAGAACTTTAAATCAGAAATCTTTTCTGTTGCTTTTTTTCTGTTAGTTGGAGTGTATGTGAGTTTGGTGTCATGATGTGAATGTGCAGCTAATAGCTTGTTAGTCACTAGTCTTTTTTTTTTCTCCTGAAAGATTTATTAAGAAACAAAGACCTAAAAATAAAACTTTTTTTTTTTGGTTAAAGTCTCCTATTAGTAAAGACAGATGGCAGAATTATTGACAACTAGGGACATTTCAGTAGTGTGTTGCCATATGATGAGTTTATGTAGTGGGAAGTAGTCACTAGAAGTAAATAATGAACAGTGCTTTTGCATTTCCACAATTATTAAAGAATAATAGATATTTTTGAGTAATTTATTGCTTTCCTTATGTCATATGAACAACCTAGTGTTTGATACAGCTGTTTAGTAGTGATTTGCTGAATGTCAAGGAATTACTAATTTTCACAAGTATTTCTATTCCTAATTAATGAATTGTCAGTGCTGCTACTGACCAAGATTGTATTTTATATTAGAGGAGAGCAGAGACAAGATTCAGTATCACAGATGCAAACTGTCCTCCTGAGGAATGGGCTGACATGCCTCTGAATATTAAACCCTGCTAATTCCTTCATTGGGCTGTTCTCCATGGCTTCCCAGGCACTGCAGCAGGATGTGCTGTCCTTTTGGAAAGTGATTTTTTTGCTTGAAAGTTTAGTCTCTGCACTTTGGCAATATTCTCAAACACTGAAACGTAGCAAAAGGTTAAACTGGAGAGCAGGTCTGTTACGGCATCTCACTGGACTGATTGATTTTTCTTTCAAAAGAATCAAAATGAATGCAACCTTCAGTGAGAAACACCTTTTTTACAGCTACCACAAAACATGAAACACCTGGGTGCTACTGAAACATGGTGAAGAGTAAAATAGATGCTAGCATTTTGAGGTCAACTGTGCATAACAAATGGTGAAAAGTTTTTGTCATAACATGTGATAAGGCACTTCTGTGATTGCCTTTGTGGTTTGTGGTTGTTCTGTGGGACACAAAGCAGCTGAACTAACTTCTCTGTCTTGCAGGGTCCTACGTAACTGTCATGACGATGCGTCCAGGTTCACGTACCTTTTGGCGAAGCCCAGCTGTGACTGCCTAGAGCAGGAGGACTTCATCCCGCTGCTTCAGGTACCTGCAGCTGCTCAGCAGGGAATGGATGAGAGGAGGGAGCAATGCTCCTTCCGTAACTTTCTTATTCCTGTGTCTTAAATGATTGCCAAAGACACACAGGCCTTTGGTTGGACAGCACATGGGTAGAGCTTATTTTGGGTTGAAATAGAAATCAACATTTTGAGTGAGCTACTTTGCATAAGTGCCAATGCAACTCACATCCTGCTAGAGTCACTGAGAACTGCCAAACTCTTATACTCTTTTCCCTTCTTAAGATTTTTAATTGCCAGTGCCTGATAACCAGGCTGAAATTCACCTCATTTCTTTAGATAGTTATTATGAAAAATACATGACACCATGGACATTTAAGCACAATATAAAGAAAATATATTAGAAAAATATATTATGTATATAATATATATAATAAATAGTAGAAAAATTTAAAGTTGTTTGGAAAGATAATTATTACTGAGTTGCTTAACAAGACTCTCAGATACAATAGCCTATAGAAATCTTTGTGAAGAATCCTGCAGTTCCAGTTGCTTTATATGCCACAAGACCTGTTGTTATGTGCATTTTGCTACTGATTTTTTTTTCTGAATATACAAGCTAAAGCTTATGCATCTTAACTTCATTTCTTTCCTTTTGTTTTATTTACATGTGATATCTTTGCAAAGCAACTCTTAAATCAAAGCATTGTTCTGTAATTGTCGCTGCTTAGTCTCTGGATGGATTTAGCTTTTTTTAATAGTCTCCCCATAATTCAGATCCTTCTGCTCCTTTGATCATTTTTTTGAGCTTTTCCACATATCCCTAGATTGTGAACCTTGTGTTACCCACTATACAAAACCTCTGCAAAGATGCTTGATTTTGAATGATTTGATGTCTGTGCTGGATGCTTCTCTCTCCCAAGCAAAACGGGCACTGTGCTGGATAAAATTTCTCATATTCCTCATCTTTTCTCCACTGGGCACACTGCCTTTCCTGACTGATAGCAGCTCTGTTATTTGCTACTGGTGCAGTTAGAGGCATGTAAAATCTTTTTTCTCGATTGATCTAAGACTGGCCATGTTGCATCATGATATTACACCATCAGGCTAGGCATCATGTTAGGCTGCCCAAGATCTGGTCATATTACACCCCTAAGGGTGTATCGGTATCTGCTCCATCTCTTTGTCACATCTTGCTGTAGACAGGGAAAAAATTTGAGCTTTTTAAGCAAGGGAGCCAGGTAGCCACACAGCAATTACAAAGAGACTCTGATTCATTCAAGATCTGAGCTGATTCATTCAGGATCTGAGCAGTTTCTCCACAGCTTTGGTCATGCATTTCTGGGCAGACTTGACTATGAGCTAGTGTTTGGCTTGCAAAAAAAACATTGTCTTGAGAAAGATAAACCTCTCTATTTGCATCCTAAGGTTCACAAGAGCTTGTTGTGGAGGGCATAAGAAGGAACTTCCTCAACCCTTCAGAGAGTCTTAGTTTGATGCTTAGATCGAACAAGTACTCCTATCTTCAGTAAGAGAGAGAGTTGCAAAGGAGATAGTTGCATGGTCAACTATTTTTTGCTTTGTCTCATTCAGTAAAAATGAGTTTTCATTCACTCACTAACTCTCTTCCTTTGTTTTTCTGTCCTTAAGTAAATCAAAATGGCCAACAGGTGCGTATTGCCTGGAAAATGTATTCTACTTTTGCTTCTACAAGGTTCACTTTATAGAGTAAAACAAATATGTCGTTTGGGTTTTATTAATGCTGCAAATACAGTTTCAAACATTAGAGAAAATATTGGTTTGTGAACACAATAGCTTCTAAATGTTAAACAAAAGGAGAAGAAAATCTGTTTCATTGTATTTGGTCTTGCCTTGCAGGATGTAGTGGAAACACATCCTGGCCTGACGTTCCTGAAGGATGCTCCGGAATTTCATTCCCGGTATATCACAACGGTAGGCTGGTTCCTTTGATCTCCTGTATTGCAGCCATACTAACCCTTCTTTTTGCCCTGTTCTCATCAGCAAATTTTTCAGTTGTTTCAAAAAATTTAATTGTAGTGTTGCTAGTAATGAGTTATTTTAAGAACAACTTCCCCAGGTAAAAATAATCTGCCTGTGTGTACAAGAGGTCATTCAAAAGGATCGTACTGATTCTTTCTAGTCTTAAGCAAATGTAGACAACCATTTTCGGCCTTTAATCCTGACGAAGGAAAACAAGAGTGATCCTCGTTTGATCTTTGAGAGCTGTGAAGCTACCCCTAATTCTGCTGGGCTTCTGAACATGGAGGTCTTTATATTTGAAGATCTTTGTGACTTGGAAAAGACGGACACGGAGTGTCCGTGATTTCTCCATGCTGAAAAGAGCATCCGTTGCACAGAGAGTGCTCCAGTGCAGCTCTCCTGCCTCTCTCTTTTGCCAGTAAGCCTCTTTCATCTTTGAATTTGAGTTTTGTGACTTTTTTTTCATTTTTTCTTTTTATCTGTAGCTCTGTTCTACATTTGCAATCACTTGTGCTTTGCCTGAGTAAGTCTCTATTTTTTTCACCGTTTAACTTGTCTCATGCTGAGTATCAGTGTGGACGAGAGGCATACGTGTAAGATGTCTTATCTCTGCAGAGGTAACAAGTCCAAATAAGGAAAGGCCTATGGGAAAACTGCATCCCAAAAAGTGTTTCCAATTCGGTTGCCAGGGCCTGCGTGGGGGCCGGTTTTGCCAGCTATTGGCAACTGGAAGGTATCTTACTTGGCGGGCACAGGCTTGTCTCCTTCCCGTAAGGAGCAGATGGCAGAGAAACACTGTTGCTCTGGGCAAATCCTGAACCATCACAGTAATTTTTTTTTTTTGAAAATGTGTAATGAGGATCAATTTAAATGTTTAGATTGACTTGAATATGACTGTGAGCGTCAGAGCATAATCAGCATGTTCCTGTGGAGTGAGACAGCAGACACGTGAAGCACAGTAACTGGCCAGAGTAGGTGTAATGTTATCCAGCAAGACATAGAGGTGCATGAACAGTGAGTGTGGAAGGTGCCTGGGGCACATGTGCCCTGATGTTTGCTGCTTAGGGCATATAGAGGAGTGAGAGCTAGAACATTTAAGGCCGTTGGATAGAGCTCAGGGTGCTGGTGGAACCTGGAGAGATGCCTGATGCTGTTTTATGAGCGTGTAAAAGTAATGCTTATTGCATTCCAAGTGTGCATGATCTGGTGTCACAGCCTCGGGGGCTCTTCCTAGCGTGTTCTGCTCACCCGTGTCTGCGTCTGACTGCAACATCAACCAGTTGGTCGTTGCCCCTGAGCTGCTCTAGGCACAATTCACAACTGTCCTGGTGCTGGCTGTTGCACAACAGGAGCAGCAGCACCGGTACCTTTCAAGGGAGGATGAAGGATACAGAGCAGGTGGGGATGGGACTGCTCTTTTAGTAGCTTTCTGCACTTGGGTCTACATAAGGTAGCAGAACTGGACCCTTCATGTGGACATGCAGCTTCTCAGTGCTGCTTCACTCTTCTCCACTGTGCTTTCCCACTTCAGGGGAGTCTTTTAGGCACCTTCACTTACAGCACTGTGACAGAGGTGGCTTCTGGTGGTGCTGGTGGTCAAGGTAATGGTGGGTAGCAGAGAATCTTACAAAACTGCAATGTCCTTTGCATACTCCTCATGCTAGCAGAACAGTGCTGTTCTGGGCATCTGTGCTGACAAACTCCTCCTGATCTTGGTGTTTGCTGGACCATTTTGTTGGAGCAGAGTCACAACCTCAGGAGACAGCCCACTGGGTCAGGCTGTACCCACCAGGAATGGCAGCACTTGGCCGACTGCAGCAGTGCCCTTCCTCTGACACCAAGAATTTCTGCTCTCACACTTCCTTTCACAGACAATCTAGCACTTCTCTCTCTTTAATGCTATGAAATTCAGTATTTCCACCAGGAATAATGAAGGAAACAGCTTTGTCCCTGGATTTTGAGACTACTTGGATCCTTGTGATGCCTCCAAGGTAGAGTGCCTTATACCTACTTATAGAGACAGTGCTGTATTTGCTACAAGTGCAAGAATCACATCTTATTTTTGTGTTATAGATGAGAGCCTTAAGGAGACACTGGCTTTTGTGGTCAATACTGGATACAGCATCACACTGAAATCACCTGGAGAGAAAGCCAGCAGCCTAGTATGGATGTGTATGCACATTTTAAATCCTTCTCTGCCACCATCTGCACCTTTTAGAGGTGCCTTTTGGATACAAAATCTATAGAAGTATCTGCAAGCTCTTTTATTGCTAGGATATTAAACTACCTGTATTTCTTTCAACAGGGACCAACTCTAAAGCTGGTGAAAACGATGCAGGACATCCCATGGCATTTAATGTAAAAGCTTTAAAATATGACTGCTCCTCCCAGAGTGTGCCAGCAAGGCTGTTAGCACCACTAGCTGTTGAAAAACTGAGTCAAGGTGTCACCAATTGGGCAAATTGTGTAGCTTGCGGAAAAATGCTTTGGCTTGTGCAATGTTGTCAGCATGAATGTGAAAGGGGAGAATGCCCTACAGGGTTTAATAAAGCGTTGCTTTTACTTTCAGAAATGGTATTGGTTTTGTTCTTCCATAGGAAGACAGGGAAAAAAGCCTGGAGTTGACCCGTCAGTGCTTTTGCTAGAGTTTGGCTTGTGGCAGCAAGTGCCTGAGCCCACTTACTTGTTTTCGAAGATGGGATTATGCAGCTGCTGCTCTCGCTGAGAGACACGAAGCAAGGGACAGAAGGGGATTTGCTCTTACAGCTGGGTACTAAGATTATGGCTTGATTGGTGCAGAGAATCTCAGGCCACATAATAATATTCTAGTCTGTATTTCCTGAACGCTGTTTTTGGACAGCTTGTTTTTTTTACCACCTGAAAAGGAAAGAAAGTATTGACACTGTATGCTGATCTAGGCACTGTGTACTAGCCACTGAAACTGGAACATGATTTGAATAATAAAGGCTGCACCGAGTGGTTGGACATGGGAGATAAAATGGATGGAAAATGATACCATTTTATCTCTGCCTGCTTTATTTCTACAGCTAACTGAGGAGAGAGATGAGGGAACATCTTTCTCTTTAGCACTATATATATATATATATATACACACACACACACACACACATATATATATATATCTCTTTAACCCTGCAGGCAAAGGTGGGAGCTGCCTCTCAAGGTCCTGTTTCTGTTCTGTGCCATTTTTACTTTTGAGCCTTTGGGATGGTGGTGAACTTGCCGTGTCTCTAAGAATCCCTGGGTATGGGCAGGTGCTGGGTTGTGTGCGAGCTGAGACCCGCTTTGCCCTCTGAGTCAATCTGCAGTCTGAAAGCGAAGGCCAAACAAAGTCCACAAGTGGAGACCAGAAGGGCACTGGTCACCAGAGGTGTTAACCAAGGAGGAAGGAAAGATTCAGCTCTTTCTTCCAGTGTGTTTAAGACTAGAAAAGACTGTTGTGAATACCTAGTCTGACTTCTTGTACGACACAGGCCACAGAACATTGCTTACTGATTGCTGTTGTTAAGATTGGGGTAACTTAGAATTTATTTATCTATCTATCTGAGTTACCACACAGCTGTAGAAAGACAACCATCCTTGACTGAAGTGCTTGGGATGATATGGAGCCCTCAGTGGTGTTTTTTTGGAGTTGTCCCAGTGGTCAATTACTGACAGTGTAAAAATCTGCACTCTTGTCACTCTGAACTGGACTGTCTTCAGCTTCTGGTTATGCATTTTCCAGGAAGTGAAAAGTCCGGTTGTCCCTCATCACCTCGCTTAGCCTTTTAAGGGCCAGGATAATTATCAACAGGGATCCTGTTCAGCTGCTTGCCTACTTGAATGATTGCATGGCACATCTGCTCTTCAAAAGTCCTGATTTTTTTTCCAAAGCACATAACATTGTATCAGTTAGTTAAGATTCATGCGGACTGCAGCACCCAAAGCTGGAAAAATGCAGTTTCAAAGTGATTTGGCAGCATTTTAAACACTTTCCCTGACATAAATAATACAACTGAATGCTCAGAGATGTGAATTGGGGGCAGAGAAGTGAATAACCCTGTTTCAGGAAAAAAAAAATGCTACTTTCAAACTGCATAGCGTTTTAAGGGTAAGAGTACATACAAGCATATTCACTAAACAGCTTTCAGAAAGAAGTCCCTTTAGGACAATTGAAAAAAACAAATATTGTTCTTCTATTTAAATTCCCGAACTACTGTACTTAAATGGGTGATTTCAAGAAAACTGTTTGTGTGTTGCAGGTTATACAGAGAATATTCTACACAGTCAATCGCTCCTGGTCGGGGAAGATCACACTAACAGAACTGAGGAAAAGCAACTTCCTGCAAGTACGTTGGTTTCTGCCTGAACAGGGTATAGAGCTGGGAGATGTATTGGTTCCTATAGGTGTATATAGAGAGCCCCTGGGCTCTGGTGATGCAGACCAAGCACTCAGTGCAAGGGTGGGGGTGAGTTAGGTGTCCCAGTTGCCTGGCGTGGCCTGAGCAGAAGGTCAGAGCGGGAGCGTGTGCTGGGACCAAAGCCCCCTCGGGCGCCTTGGCCGGAGCAGGAGCCAAAGAGCAGAAGAAGGGAAGTGACACCCCGCAGCGCGGGGCCCACTGAGCAGCCAAGAATAGCTGGTGGGGTGCCCGCGAGCAGCGGGGAGGGGAGGACAGCCAATTTCCTGACTCCCAGCTGGCAACCAGCCCCTTGACAGTTGGTCAGCCATGTGCTGATCTCCAATTCTGCAGTCAATTTCTCTGGAAAGGGTAATAAAGGGAGCTTAGCACCTTTGCCTGCCTATTCATCTCCTGTAGCAGGGAAGTTCAGCTCCTGGGCTACAACTTTTACTTAGGCAGTTCTTTGCTGCATGTGGCAGTGAATCAAAAGAGTGCAAACAACATATTTTGGTGAGGACTGTAACAAAAATACAAATGTTCACTCTCCAAGTGAACATCAGCTGCAAAGAAAGGGAGGGAACCATGAAGAGTCTAAGGCTGATGAGTGACTGCTCAGAAGCTGCTTCAGCAAGCCAGGACAGTGCAGGTCTGCCACAATCTGCCTACATCCCTCCTTGCTCTTAGTTATAGCTGGATGGTCACAGCAATTGCACAACCTCCTGTTAAATAAAGAATGCAGCACTAAAGTCTCCTGCAGTGAAGAAAGGGCACACTTTGGGACAGCTCACGGAGCTGCCTTCGCCCAACTTCCACAGAGCTTGGAGCACCTGAGCTGCTGGAGTGCCTGCATTTAACTTGCTGCTTTTATCCTTACCATTGCAGACTCTTGCTCTCTTGGAAGAAGAGGATGACATAAATCAGATCACAGATTATTTCTCCTATGAGCACTTCTATGTCATATACTGTAAATTCTGGGAACTGGACACTGATCATGATCTTTACATCAGCCAGAAGGATCTGGCTAGGTACAGTGATCAAGGTAAGCTGTCCCCAAGCTGCTTCTTGAGCAGATGCTGTAAGTTTTCAGGCCTTGAAGGGCCATAGACAAACTAATCCCACTGTCCTGCAGTGGGATTGATATGGTTTGTGCTCTGCTAAGAAATGTCTTGTAGGGCTTTTGGAAAGGTTTCGATTTGATGCCTAATTTTTGCTTGATGGATGAACTCTTGCTGTGCACACTGAAGTAGAGCCTCCTTCACATTAAAATAGAGCCTCCTTGTACCAGCAGGATTCAGTTACGTGGCAAGTCCTGTTTCGGAGTAGTCTGTGTCCAAGAACCCACCTTACATGTAGTTGCCATGTTTTTTTGTGAAATAGAGTGTTGGGTAGGATGCAAAGGCAGACAGAACAGGAGACTTGTCCTTTCCTGCTTTTCGAGGGCTGCCAAACAGGGACTGGTAAAGTGGTTACACAGAGAGCTTGCTTTTAGCCGTTGGAAATGGCTTTCTGTGTATTTGCTGTGCATTAGTGTATTTAACATTTTCCTGTGACACGTGTGTTCATTTTCTTCTTGTTTGCTTGTCTCCAGCTTTATCAAACAGGATTATTGAGCGAATATTCAGCGGCGCTGTGGTGAGGTGAGGAATGGCAAACTGGCTGGGGAGGGAAGTGAGAGGAATTTCTGCCAGGCTGATTCGAAATATGAGAAACTCAAAAATTTCCACTGATCAGAATGATTTCCAACATGATGCTCTAGCTGGAGCTGCCTGAATGTGGAGTGTGATGGCCAGGTATTTTCAGGAAGTAAATGAAAAAAATCCCATAGGACCATCCCATATAGACATCACTGTAGAAGAAGCTGGGCATGGCAACAGGAACACACAGGCACCATGGGCATGTGCCCCCAGCAGCACAGTTTTATCAGAAAAGCTGCCAAATAAAACACCCCCAGCACTTCCCATGGGTTGGGACGTGGTCCATATGACCCTCAGCTCTGCGGTGACAGCAGGGCAGCAAATACAGTGTGTGCAAGGAAGGGCAAAAGGCCTGTTGGGCAGGGAGAACAGGCCAGATAGGTGAACATGTCCTGTTTGCTCTCAGCAGTGATTTTATATATATATATATATATTTAATATGTGTTTAGTAGCATTCTGAGTATTTAGGAGCCTCTTTTTTTTGTTGTTTCAGAGGAAATGAAGTTCAGAAGGAAGGCCGCATGAGCTATGCAGATTTTGTGTGGCTGCTGATCTCAGAGGAAGACAAAAGGAGTGCTACAAGGTCTGGCTGATTCTAGTGTGTCCTAGTAAGAGTGGAGATAGGAGACTTCTGTGACGTACTGCTTTCCACAACAGACAGCAGCTTGGGTTTCAGTCACGGTTTGGAAGAAAGCACCTTACTATCAGCTCTTGGTTCAATCATTTGCCTTTCTGGATGAAAAATAGCTTAAAATGAGCAATTTTGTTTTGTTCTTTTTTTAACGCTTAATGTCTTGGTAGTAAACCCAGAATTCTTCCAGAAAATGGGTACATTCCCTTGTACACTCCCTATTCCCAAAGGGTGGCCTTTGGCAGGAAGAAAATGCCAGGCAGGAGCAAAGGGAGCCTTGCGGTGCTGCACGGAGCCTCTGGAGCAGCTTGTGCTTTCACTCGTTCTGTCTCCCACATTCTGCTGCTTTTTCCCAGTATCGAGTACTGGTTTCGGTGCATGGACCTGGACGGAGATGGGGTGCTCTCCATGTATGAGCTGGAGTACTTCTACGAGGAGCAGTGTGAGCGCATGGAGGTGATGGGCATAGAACCCCTGCCCTTTCATGACCTGCTATGTCAGATGCTCGACCTTGTTAAGCCGGAGAGGGATGGTAAGTCCTGTTTTGTGGGAGCTTCCTCCTCCTCCTCTATGGTGGCTTGAGCAAGCACTGTTGCTGTGCATCCCCTCCATCTCTAGGCAGAGCCTTGTAGAGTCACAGAGCTGAAATTGCCATGGGACGTGCTGACAGTCTGGATTGTGCAACTGGATGTCCCTGTTCGTGTTCCTTCACACTCATTACAGGCCTCATCCCTATGTATGCGAGGTTTTGGAATAATACTCATTTATCAGATAACTTTAAAATCCTTAATTGACTTGGGAAGAAATGTTGCAACATTGTTTAATCATGATTTTGATGAGAGCGATAGGAAACAGTTCCAGTGGCTTGCTAAATATGAATTTCGGGATAAAATAATATATTGTCTCTGCAGGAAGAGTAACCCTGAGAGACCTAAAGAGGTGCAGAATGGCTCATGTCTTCTTCAACACCTTCTTCAACTTAGAAAAATATCTGGACAATGAGCAGAGGGATCCCTTTGCAGTGCAAAAGGTACGAAGCCTTCCCAAACCCATCTTTGGAATGCAGCTGGGTATAGGGAAAATCCCTTGGCTATAAGGAAAAGCTTTCCCAGTGGGGACAGTCAGGCATTGCTACTGACTGCCTGGAGAGGTGGTTCTGCTTGCCTCTGTCTGTCTCCTGCACATAAATCTTCAAATACAGCCTGTTTATTTATTAAACTTCTGGGATCCTGGGAAACAGCCCTAGCAGTTCTCCAGGACTGAGGAAGACCAGAACCGAGGAGGAAACAGTCCATTTACAAGAGGGGCTAAGGCAGAGATCCCAACCCTGCAGCAGTGCCACGCTTGTGGGGCAGCAGATGGAAGGTCTGACTAGTGCAGCCTGTTCCTGGTTATCAGCTGGGTTGTCCTTTTATTCACCATCCTCTCTCCCCCTGCAGAGAAAACCCAAGCGGAGGGTCTGGCTTTTGTGTTTCCAGTCTTTACTCACTACTAGCAGCAGGGTCTTCTCAGAGCGAAGCTTTGCCAGCGGCCAGGGTGAAATAGCTCAGTGCTCCCTTGCACCTCCGTGAAACCGCAGTGCCTCGAGAGCCAGATGTGACTGCAGCTTAATGACTGTCCCCCCAGGGGACTCTCACTCTGGTCAACTAGAGCAAAGTGGTGGGGATACCAAAACCCGCTCTGGTTTCCTCCCAGCTGTTCCTACATAACCTGCTAGAGGAACTTTGTGGTTGTTGTTCTCCATCTCTTCACAATTCTAGGCTTAAGTATATCATAATCCAGAAACATTTCCTTTTCTTTTCACCCTTTTCTTTTCCTTGTGATAACAGATCATCGTAAGAGCATAATTTTACCTCCTCGATCTTTTGATAATTGCTGAGGGTTGACTGTTTACAAGGATATTATTTTGTAGCTTTTCTCTCCTTGGTCACTTTTCAATCTGTTAAAGTTGCCTGAAAGATCAATTACTATTAATAGCTAAATAAACCATTAAGTTATTTAACAAACTACAAAGGGTACAGATGCAGCATAAGATGAGGCAGATGAGAGCAAATGTGCTGTTAACAAGGGGGGGACTGTGCTTGCTGGCAGCTCAGGTGGCACACGAACTGTCATAGAACAAGAGATGCATTTTTTTGTAGTCACACGTGCAGCTGTTGACAAAATCACTATTTTAAGCTATTAAGACACTATTTGACTATGTGTTTCTGTGCAGTTACCATTTCCAGCATTCGTGTTTGACGTGTGCACACGTGTCCGACGTTCAGACCTAGTGTAACGTTCGTACAGAGGTGTGGGCTCCGTGTGCTTCACTGTTTGATCTCCTTAGGACATTGAAAACGACGGCCCCGAGCCCTCCGACTGGGACAGGTACGCTGCCGAAGAGTACGAGATCCTGGTGGCTGAGGAGTCCGGGACCGAGCAGCTGCAGGAAGGGTGAGCAGGGACGGCCCCGCTGGCTCGGGGGAGGTCACAAGCTCCTTCCTAGCACCCGGGGTGGCGGAACCACACATGGCTGCTTTCTCCTGGGGCATGCTGAAGCCCAGGCAGTTGCTCCAAAAGGCTGTATTTGTGACTGAGCACTTCGGACAGCCTGAATGCTTTGTGGGCAGCCACACGCATCAGCTGCACACACTGAACAAATGTCGCCTGCTAGGGAAAAAGAACAGAGCTGTTTTCTTTTACAGCCATACGACAAAAGAGGACAAGGGACTTTTGCTAGTCCTGGCCAAGAATTAGCTGTAAGCACTGCTGCTGCTTAGCTTAGCTGGGCTGGGTACTCAGGCTTTCCTTTAGTCAAATAACACTGCATTCTGCCAAGCTTCGTGCCTATTAGTCTGTGCTCTTCATAAACTATAGTTAAAAGTTTAAAGTCATTTACTAAGTTTTAGACGTTTTCTTTAAAACTATTGGTTTCTGCAGTTTGTAGCTTCTATAAAATTGTGGACAGACACTCCAGCTGTCCTTACATAAAGTAATTACGTAGTTAATCCAGGTCTTCTCTGTGTGGCAGGCTTTCCATAGAGACTCCTAATGGATCCTCATTATAATTATCCTTCTTGAGAATACTTCTTTGGAAGCCTCTTTGTGGGTGCTGTAAGGAACAGCCAAGAAATTACTACTCGTTTAAACCACGTACATCTTCATGTACCTCAGGACTTCATCACAAACACCATTGAAGGAAAAATCCTCAAAAGATTGCATGATTTTCAGAACTCCTCATGCTGGAAATCACATAACAGCAGCACTAGCCCCAGAGAGGTGCCAAGCTGTGGGGAGCTGCATTTCCCACTGTGCCTGTGCATGCAAGGGCTGTTCCCTCACCTCCTCTGAGCTGCCTTGCTTTTATTGTGACCCTAACACTAGAAGATGACGTGACAGGATGGAAGGTAAAAACCACCCTGTCCTCAGCACAGAGCAAAACCAGGAGTTGTTAATCACCAACTTTAGCAAAAGCAGAAGACAGACCTGGCAGATGATGCTAGGTTTGAGGTGTGTGTGAAATGGCTCTGTGTCTTCCTGTGGAAAGCACTACAGCAACCTCGATGCTTGCCTTTAAGAGCTCCTGAAAAGCTCTGTCATGATTACAGGGTAAGATCTCATTTGTGGAGCACAGCAACAGACTGGGCAGGAAAAAAGTAAGGGAAAAAGGAAAACAAAGAGCTGAATGCCCAGATAAATATGCCAGAAAGAGGGATTAAGTTCTTACATACGCATGAATCCTGCTGCCCTTTGTGGGTGACAAATAGGGAGAGGAAACAAAAACAGGGAGAGGATTTTCCTCAGCTATGTCATCTTAAGCCAGGGAGACTTCAGGCAAACTGAAGCACACAGAAACATGCACAGCACATGCCCAGGTGGGGAGTGAAGGGAGGCAAGGCCACCTGCACTCGCTGCAGCTACTGCTTAAGCAAAAACAGTCTGCAGACCGAGACCCTTCAACGTGCAGCGAGAAGAGAAACGTTAAGAAGGACTCCCAAGCACCGTCATGGGCTCTAGATCATTGTGTCCCTTCTCTCACTTGGAAGTGGAATCAGGAAGCCGGGAGAAGTACCACGCAGGTGCTTTCCCTTACAGATAAGAAAGTGGGAAGGTTCTCTAGGCTGTTTTTCTCTTTGATCACGAGATGGTAGCACAGAATCCTCTCTTCAGCAGGTCATATCGACCAAAGGGGAACTGGGACAGACCGGCAGGTAGAGGCGACTCCCGAGGATTCCCGGTGCCTACATGTGGGTCACTAAAGGAAGAACAGCAGAAGAAGTGACAGACCACCAGATAGGCACCACACACACTGAGGCCTCAGAGAGGTTCTTCTGCAGCACAATTCCATTGAACAAGTTGAAGCTATTTCAGTGCTTGCTACTGGAAGACCTGCTACGAAAAGAGAAATTTGAATTCCTTGGAAGCCCTAAGAGACTAACCTGTAGAGTGCTGAGATAGAGGTGAAGAGTTGAGGTCTAAAAACATAATTTCTCAGGCAGATGAATGGGCTGAGAGCTCAGCTGCAGAGCCCAGAACCCAGCAGGCCCGATTACTGCAACTGGCTGGAGATAGGACCACACTGTCAAACTTCCCTGAGCTCTGAACAAACACAAAGACCTTGGTATTAAACCTGAAACCAAATGAGGGAAGAGCACGATAACATGAGGACAGTTGTCCTTCGGTGCACATCAAAGCATATCCTAAGCTAGAAGACTTTTTGGAGTCTTTCTGAGCAAACCAAAACTCCAGCAGGACCCGAGCTGAGACTGGGCAGCTTCACTGCTATGCTGAAATACAAACAATTGTCAGTATTTTACAAGAGCCTTAATGAAACTGTGCTCAAAGTTTATGATACCAGATGTTGCTTCAAAGTTGTCCCAGCATTTACCACTGAGCAGGGGTAGGATGCAATGACGTGCTGGCTGTCAGAAAACTGACTACTGCCTCTCTTAAAATGTCTCATAAAAAGCCTCGACTAACATTTTGCATGTTATTGAATTTTACACTTATGCTTCAGGAGCCATCGGCTTTTCAAGACGTACCTTCTATCTTTGCAGATCATTTGAGGAAGACTGTGACGCAGATGACGTCTTATCTACCCCTGAAACTGGAGACAAGTCGGACAAACTCGTTATCGGCGATCTCTCGGCCTAGAGAAATGGAAGACGTGTAGTCGGTATCTGTCAAACTGGAGAGCAATCAGTCCGAAGACCCTTAAGTGATTTTTCTTAAATCCCTCCTTGGAGCAATGTGCTTTATTTTGTACACTGTAATTTGAGAATCCTTTTCCTCTCCCTGTGTAACTGCAATAAGGTAATTTCTATAAAAAGCTTTTTACAATGTGTTATTGTGCACGCTCATTAAAGATGGTGATTGCACCTTGTTTCTTTTATATCTTTCCATACAAACTCATATGTCCCCATGTGTGCAGTAAGTGCCAGCATCCAGTTACTAACCACAACCACTGCCTGCAGCAGCATCAGTGGTCACTTCAGTTCAGGGCCCTGTGGCTCTTTAGCCACTAGATAGAGCAGTAAAAGGAGAGCTGTTAAATTAACCTGATTTAAATGAAAATCTAGCAGTCTTTTAAAATGCAAGTCACAGTAAATTTTTAATTTTAGTAGTTTCACCTTTTCCTCTGGAACCCAAAGCAACATCCCTGTACACGGGGAAAGCGAGGTCCCTTTTTGTGCTTTATCCCACGCGATCTTCACTTGCTGCTGCACACGTTTTGCAGCACTGCAGGCTGCAGTGTTTCTCTGAGCGTTTAAGATGCAGGTAGTTTCTCAGTATAGTCTCCCGTGCATGACAAGATCTCCTTTAGGAACACTAGTCGGGGAAGGCTCCATGTCTTTTCTAGTGTGTTTATAAGGAAACGATGCTCCTTGCTCGATGGGCCACTCCAGCAGCACCGCTCCTGCCTGTTCCCCACGCTCCTCATCCCTCAGCTGCAGCCTGCAGCAAGCCCAGGCTCACCGAGATCACGACGGGGAGGGAAACAAACCCTCACCCAATGCAGGAAGGTTTGAACAGCGACATCCTTGAAGTGGTAAATGAATCCATGTGGTGTAGTGCTGAGAAATCATCTTCCTCCCAAGAAATTAGCCCTAATCTCAGAGAGGAAATGCTTGTAATTCCCTAGCAACTTCCGGCTACAAGTGCAAAGTTAACCTGACTTTCCCCTTGGATTCTCAGCCCGGGTCTCCAACACCAGTCCAGTAGGTCTTGCTGGCGCTGCTCCTCCTGCACAGCCAGTAGCTTCAGTTTGTGATTTGCACAGAGGTGATTAAACCATCTTTAAGTAGCTCTCAATTTTACCCATTGTAGCTATACAAACAGGCCTCTCCTCACTGACTTCAAGTAGAGCACATCCATTTACTATCTTTAAGAATACTCTAATAATACTTTATGGCAAGAGTTTTGCCTCACCTTCAAGGCCAAGCGACAGAAGCTAGTGCTAGCACAATCTTGGTGCAGGAGGTGCAGTAATTTATATCATTTACCGCAGCAGAAATCCAGGTTTACTAATACATTTGAAAAGAGCCATAATTCAGCAATTTCAGGTGATTGAGGAAATGTGGCACTCTGCACTAAATCCATCAACTCGCACTGTCCTATCCTAGCTTACCTGGGTGAAAGGTCTCTGAAACTGTAGTACGAAAACAAGGTGAAGTCTGGAATTTCCATTCCACTTCTATAGTTTTTCCTTTCGGGTAAGTCAAGAGAAGCAGACAATGATGGTCACGGCTGCGGACCCAAGCTCAGCTAAGCCGGAGCACGTACCTGTCTCAGAGGCCCCCATGTTCTCCAGGATGAAGCGAGGCAGGGCTTGCAGCACAGGAAGGTTGTAGGAAGCTGCCCCACTCCAGCTCGGCCTCCTCTCTCCAGTATCAGCCACTCTAGATGCTGCACGAAGAACATTTCTCACTGCAAATCCAGCTGAGGCTGAAGGCTGCTGTGAGCTGGATTCCTTTTTCCCTATGAATAGTCAGAAGAGTGAGGAAAATGCAATTTTGCATGATATAATTTCTGATTCTTTGTTCTCCCTAGTCTTGTTTTGCCCAGTGAAATTAAATCCTTGCTTTTTGCTTTTATATACACACACTCTCTCCCCCGTATGAAGATGAGGAATACACTAGCTACAACAACACGCGATTCCGACTGTAACGGCACAGCAACGCGAACACAGAGCCGCTTCCGCCCGGCTGCCACCGAGCGGCAGCACCACAGCCCGGCAGCCAGAAACCACCAGCAACGCTGCAGAAAATCCCCCCTTTCTCCTAAAGGCAGCCCCGAGGTACTCCAAGTATCACTTTTCTGAAACGAAACATGCCCACAAAGCCAAATAAAAAATAAAAGGTTGACGAAGTATCATTTTAATGCCATGGATTTTTGGAGTCCAGTGTTTCTAAATCATGGGATCTTAAGACTATGCAGTGGAAACGAACCTCAATGAGAACAGGAGCGGCTGAAGGAAAACCCTGTGACCAGCACCTGCCCTTTTACAGCAGCCCTTTCTCTGCACCAGCGCATGATGGTTTTAGAACTTGAATAATTAAGAAAAGGTTTGTGATACTTGACTAAAGTAGTTCGGGGACACAGTTTTATCTTTGTATTTCCCCCCCCCCTTTTTTTTGGAAAAGACTTGATTTGAATTCTATTGTAATAATAATAATATACTTGGGTAGAATTTAAGATGTAACCATTATTACATTTATATAGAATTTAAGTAGTAACCTGTCCCGTACCCAGTGATGAGCTAGAAAGTTCCTATTCAACTTACTTGTTTGCTTTATCTTTACCTTCTGGTGGGGACCTTTGGGTTCCTTCTGGCTCACAGCAGGCCCTTTGCGAGATTCACGTGTCACGTCTCCAGGGGCACCTTCCTGTCAGGCGGCACCGCTGGAAGCACCTGCGTGGGAACATGGGGATTCGGCTCGTGCTGTGGCTTCCTGACACTCAGCAAAGCTGCCAGATGGCTGCATCAGTCACAGACAGAGGGAGGATTTGGGCTCTTGCAGCCCTTGCGACCCATCTCAGCGCAGAAAGCGAATCCGTCTGACAATTTACGGCTCAAACATCGTCCGAATCCAAGGAAAGCCTGGAGAGCCAGGGGGTAGAAAGCGGACGTAGAACACGCTGCCTACAGCAAACCCCAACAGCCTCCCCACGCTGCCGCTAAGGCCACATGTCACCCAGGACCAAGTTACCTGTAGAGGGGCCCCGGGCGCAGCCAGCCCTGCCCCGCAGGCTCCTCGCGGCCTCCACGGTTAATTGCGCTTGACCACAAGCAGCGCCGGAAGGTCCCGCGGCAGCGGCTGCCCAGTTGCTCTGAAGTGGGAACCAGAAGCACCGCAATTATTTTCGGCAGCTTTATGATTCCTTCCATTGCCTGACTTATTCGAGAACATCTAGCCAGGAGGTTAAAAATAAAAAATGAAAAAAGGAGGGGGGGAGAGGAGAAAAAGGAAAAGGAAAAAGCCCCAGTGCAACCAACCAAAACACACCCTAATTTAAACAATTACAGAATTAGTCATTTATGGACTAAGTGCTATTTAGACAGTGATGCAACATGTGCCACATGGATGCCCTTAGCAGTTGCAAAATAGATCAGGAAACCAACATTTATGAAGTCAATCGGAATCTTCACGTGCATTTCAAGAAAACGGCAGCAGAAAAGAGAAGCTTAAAAAGGAAATAAAGCCAACCTGAACCCACCACTTGCAATTCCACGCGAGTCACCAGAGCTCTCCTGCTAATGCTTCAAAACATGATTTATCCAAATCACCACCTTCGGGGACCGTATTTAAAGCGGCACCAAGATATTAAAGACTCCAATTGCCCCATATATAGGTGCTACCAACCTGTCTCGCCCCCCGCTCCCCGATCACTCATAAACAGAGCTGCATCAGCGGGTCACAGTCAAAGCACCAAACTGGAAAATGGTAGGAGCCTCTTGGGTCAACACAAAAATCACATCCGAGTTTAACTAAATACACTTTAATAGGACATTGTTAAATCTCATGAGGCTAAAAAACACAGATCTCAGGTACTTGGGTTGGCAAATAAAGACAAGAATACTAAAGAAGCATTTTCCACCATTTACTCATTATCAAAAATATTTTTCAACTCTTCTTGCAAAACAAAAACAAAGAAGTACAGACTGGACACGTACATCACATTTTTTCTTCCTATGGCTTTAACCCCCCACCCTACCCACCCCACAAAAAAGACGGGGGGAGAAACAAACCAAAACCAACAAAAAGAGCTGACCACGTTCACAGGAAATGACACCATGGTACACTATGAAACGAAAGGGGGTGTCATTTGTGTCTGAAGTTTTTTTGCTTATTTCTTAGGTGAGGAACCATCATTGTACATGCTTTGTGCCAAATCAAAATACACCTGACGGGAAAGCTGGGAAACACCGGAGGTCGCCTTCAGCGAACGCCAGGAAAGATGGAAGCGGGAAAATAACGGGAAAAATGCAAATACTATTTAAAGTGCTGCGGGAGCAGGAAGTGCCTTGTAAATCAGGAGGGTTTGGGATTCTAGTTGGCCTACGTTTAATTCATGCTGTATCAAAGGGGAGACATTTCTGCCTTCACGAAGTAGCCCAACTTTGCCAGGACACCCATGATGCCTTCGAACGCAAGACTAAACCCTTCTGCTTGTGCCCGCGTGGAGAGATTTCCCAGGAATAACTCATTTTTGCATGAAGCTGAATCCCTACCAAGGTGCTTTCATTTTTAGCACTTCTCGAGAGGAGCTCTTGGACAAGTTGTGCTGTTTCTCCAATCTGGGGCCTTTCAGGCCAGGTAGCATCTACCTGCGAAAACAACTTTTGACATATTACAGAAAAATCACAAGGATTCGGGGTGGAGTGAATGATACAGTTCGTTTTCTCTAACAAGCATCCAAAATATTTGACCTTAGTCGAAAGTCGAAATTTTCTGAAAGTTCAACCTGAAAAAAATACCTGTTAGCAGCAAAATGCCCTTGTGTGTTGTGGTACAAACTTTAAAAGAGGACAGAAAAACGCAGCGTGATAAGTGCCTTGGAGGCCTCTACAAATTGCAGGCACCGACTGCAGCAGAGAAACAGCCTCCCAGCCGCAGGGCCTCCTTGGCAGCCCTCCGACAGGCTCCTCTCCAGCCACAACGGCACTAAAATCCGTGGGGACCCCAAAGACCAAAGAGGGCGTTACAAAAATCTGAGCCTTCTTTTGTGCACAGGCACCTTTTGCTCCCTACCCAAGCAGGCAGTTACATGTCACACAGGCAGAGCCCAAGGCTTCAGGAACGCGACCTGCACAACTGTCAAGGAAACAGAAGCGAGCGATGGTGGTAACAGCGGGAGCGGCCTGACAGCCAGAGGGGTCACCAAATACCCTGACCCTCACTTAGCGACTTGGGAACCTCCTTTGGGGCTATTACCTTTTGCAAAGTGTTACTGGGTTCTGTTTTTAAAATGTTCAATACAGTAGGTGACCAGTTCCCACAATGAGAAATTATCTGCTACTCCGAGACTATATTCCCCAGCTCAAGGCTGCGTTTTCTTCAGGAATACTGATTTTCTATGGGTGATTTTCTAACAATAGTGATTGCAGCTAACTGAACATCGCTCTTCTACATCGTCATCTAGAACAACTGAGAAGGACTAACTAGATACCAGTTCTCTCCATTTCAGCAGAAGCTTTGACTGAGCACAAAGCATGAATGAGTACAATGAGGTTAATATATTCCTTGCCAAAGATCTTGTGATAAAATCATTTACATCAGCAATTGATCTCCAACTATGAGGTGCTGTAAGAACTAAAAACAGTTTTAGGGTAACTCCTCCATTATCTGCAACTATTTCCCAGACACTAATACACATAACATAGCAATGAAAAACACTTGATACAAGTGATCTAAACGCAGGAGCTCCAGCAAGTTAAACAGAACCATAGCTGCCTTAAAACTGTAGCAGTTCCCCTACTAACGGCAGGGAAAAGAGAGAAAGATTCAACAGTCGTATCGCATGTCTATAGCTTCATCCAAACTTTTATCATCGTGTGTACTGGCAGCTAAAAACGTCGTTACTGGTGACCCTGTCACATTGATTACACTGGTGCTTGTGCTGGCATTGCGCACGGCAATGCTTGTCACATTAATGCCCAACGTAAGCCGAGTCTGCTCCAAGGCCTTTTCTGGCACTGCAAATGCCTCCAGTTTCTTCTCCCCATTAGCCATATAGGAGTTTTGGCAGCCACGGCATATGCAGTCAAGGCAGGCTTTGCGGTTCGAGTAGCAAGGGCAGCGTTGGCCACGGCATGTAAGAACACTTGGATTTTGGGTGGCACGACCACATTTACACCCTTTCTTTTCTTGGGGCTTTTTATACACAGTTTTCGTTGGGCTACCCGGCATAACGTTACTGCTAGGAACCTTTTCCTTTGCTTTGTCTTTTGTTTTCAGCACTCCCGGTTTGGCTTTGGGGTGGGATTTCTTAGGGGCATGTTCTAAATTCTTTTTCATGCTTTTGTTGGACAGGAGCACAGTTTTACTAATTTTGGGAGTCGTGCCTCCGTTAGGTACAGTCGCAATAGGCTGCAAAGACATTTTGCTTTCCTGCTTCACCGTCACGGGAGCCGACGCTCCCAGCGTTGGGCCACAGATGATGCTGGAAATGGGCAGAGGTTGAACCTTTTCGCTGTCGCTTTCCGACCGAGATCGCTTTCTGTTTAACTTAACTACCTTGGGCGTTGCCGCTGTACACGAGATCCCGTGAGGAGACGCATCTGTGGACATGAAAATGTTATGGCTAAGAGGTGGGGGAGAAAGCTGCAGAAAAGGGCCGTTAGTCATGTTGGCTTCCAAGCTGGGCTGCAAATTCGAAACGGTTTCAAATACTGAAGCCTGTGGTTCTAAGCTCCGCAGAACCTCCTCGACACTGAGGAGCAGCGATCCACCCGGTTTGATATCTTCACTGAAGCTGCAGATGTCGATGCCCGTTGGACACAAGTCACTAGTAGAAACCGTATCACACACGGGCTGCAGACTACTAGACATATCTTCAGTTTTTATATACTCTCCAGTACTGCACACGTCAATTGTGTTTGTGTGTTCAGGAGAAGGGATATTCACTCCGAGTTTATCTACTGACAGCCCATTACAACTGGGCAACCCGTTGATAACGGAACTTCGGATGTCGAGATTATGGGAGCTTTCAGGTACGGACGAGAAACTCGCTGCAGGATCGTTCACGAGCTCCGAGGTCGAAGGTACTGGGGAATGTGTCAAACACAAAGCCAGGGCTGCATCGGAAGGTTTCTCTGGCTCTTCGTGGAGTGGCGACCCATCTTTGAGAAAAGCCAAGAGATCTGCAGAGCAATCAACTGCCTGGATGATGTCTCGGGCCAGTGGAGTTTGTGTTATGTATTCGCACAGTTTCTTATAGCAGTTCACTAGAATGCTCAGCTGCTTATTCTCCTCAAACTGTTCGTAGTCTTTGCACCAGCTACATGACGGTTTCATCATCATCTTCTTGCCTTTACAAGTTTTGCAGACATAATGCTGGCATGTGGAGTTGGTAGGAGCAATAGGGTCTTGGAGCAAGTTTCCTAAGAAAGAAAAAGAAAAGAAAAAAATATTAAAATGCACTCAGGCGAAGCATTCAGGATAACCTAGGATGGATCTCTTGTAATACTCATCATAATTGCCTTACTGCTCAGTAATTAAGCCACAGAAGAACCAAACCAACCATCCAAGCAATAGTTTAGGAATTTCTTACAGCCGCCACAACTGGTTTTATAACAAGGTTGAATTAAAAAAAAAAAAAAAAAATCACGCCAAACTCTGAGGCGCCGCTGTAGCCTTTAGAAACACTTTTAGCGTAAACACTACTACACTACTGACCCGCTCCATCCCCGCAGGGGTTTCTTCAATTGAGAGTGACAAAACATATGAGATTTCTACGAATATATGCAACAACAACAGAAAAAGGGCTACTGCAAAAATTCTAACAAAACTTGCTAAACAAATGAAAACAGAGTAGAGGAAATCCCTAAAAGGAATAAATGTGGCTGCCTTAAGCCACACACACACAGAGCATATCCAGAGGGACACTTTTAAAAACCTGAATTGGTTGCAGAGCTATTAGGGCATGGAGGAGGTTGCAAGCATTTCTCGGCGAGACAATCACTTTCCTCAACGCTAGTATCATTAAGCTTAAAAAGTCAAGCATGATACAGAAATCCACCGAAAATTAGGTTTAATTAGTTTGAATCCTCAGGGAATGGAGAGGAGTCCCCCAACCAGTGATCCATTGCTTTGAGACCACAACTTACAGCTTGTTCCGGACACTGTTGAGCTTTTCTGCTATAGCCTTTTTTGAGACAAGAGGGTTGCAACTCTGGCAGCATTTAATACCTGGGTAAATCACAGCTTTTGGCTTTTTGACTGATACTCAGCACTGCGATGAGGTTTTCACAGAGTTTTCCATTGCAAGACCACGATCTCGCTTTTCAGTGAGAGTCTTAGTGTAGATAAAAGTGATGGGCTTTGATGAGTTAAATATATTTTTCTCCACTTCTCACTTAATATTTATCTAAATTGAATTAGCAATTTTATTGCACAGTTATTCATTCTCATAAGATCTTCCTACAATTGCTCAGTGTTGCCCTTAACTTTTACTAGCCTAGATCTCCTGGCATTACTCAACTTGGCCTCATCTTTGCTCACCCTCTCTCACAAGGGGTATACTACTACGCCAAAAGCAAAATCATCACAAACCCTCCAGCAAGAGTCTACAAATTCTCCTTAACAACATCAGTTCTCAGCTCTCTTACTTTCAGGAAGGTTTTCCAAGTAGCTACTTTACTATGAGCACTTACATTTACTAAGATGCACGCACAGAAAAAATACTGTTAAAATATAATTTACAAAACATCACACTTGTCCTGGAAATGCTGCTATGGGAGGAAGGCCGTTTAAAGAAGTAGGAATATTTCCTATCGCATTCCTTAAATGAGCATCGCTCCACAGCTGCAGGAAGAGGGGAAGCATCTGCAAGTTGTATCTCACAGACCAAAGGAGCAGAAGAACTGGGAATCAAGGCAATATTTGGCTTATATCCAGAAATTATGCTCTGAATCGATGAAGTTTAAGAAGAAAGCCTTGAATCAGAACAGGTCGTCTCCTTTCATCCTCATCTATCTTTGGCAAAGGCAGAAAGATAAAGCCCTACAGAGAGGGGTCGGGGGAAGGTTAAGTCCTCAGTGCAGGAATACTCTAAGCCTCTGGAAAGGCCTATTGAAATATTCTTTATTGATGTTTTTAACAACTCAAAGTTTAATAATGATGTCAAAGTTTAGTAATGATGTAACCATTGAAATGAGTCTTAATTTAGTGAAGGAAACTAGGAAAAAAAAGTCCAAATTGGTTCCAAATAAAAATAAAAAATGTTTCAATGGAGTTAACCTCAAATATTTGTCTGCCAAAGCAAAATCTTGACTATTCAATTACATTCACATCACCAGAAATCACTCTTGCTTTACAGGGTACAGCAAACAAGTAGGAAACTCCACTGCCAGAGATTCCTGTTGCTTCCACTGGTGCTCTGCTTGACTGTAGTATCTGCTCCTCAACAAGGAGAGGGATTAACATCCATGCCTGCCAAGCAGGAAGTGTTTGGTGGATTCTACTAACATAACGAGCAACGGGAGTTAACGCTATCAAATTACTGCAGACAGTTTTTGGAGCTGCAGTAGAGGAGCTACTGGGGCGGCCGCAGTGCTCACAGAACAGTGCAGACTGTACAGGACCCATTGAACCTCAGGAGACAGCTCTGTGCCGAGTTTGCACACAGAGCGTTACACTTCATGGAAGCAGGGAAGACACCTCTTCCCACACTGACACTTTCAAAGCTTGAGAAAAAATATTTAAGAGCACTGTTTGCAAAATTTGCTGATAAATGAACAGGCTCACCTAGAGCAGTGATAGTGTTTACTACCCATTCGCACCACGAAAGCAAGTACTCTGTAAGGCTGCTACTACTGTGCAAGGGTGCAAGAGCCGGACACTTACTGGAAAATAATGACATACATTGAGAATCGGAGAAATTTCAAGTACAAGAACCAATTCCATGGACAAGGCAATAGTAAGGGATCCTTCCACAGTTCTCAAGCCCTACCATAAAACCTGCCCCGGCTGTGGACTCCAGGCAGTGAACGTGAATATAACGATGTCTTTCAAAGTCACAGTTGCCAGGCTTTAAGAAGTTTGGTTTTAAGAGGCTTTAAGCAGTAATGTTCACATTTCTGCTACTGCTGCACAGATGAATTTAACATGTTACTCTACATCATAAGGACTCCAAAGAGCTAACACCTGCTTTGAAAGTTTTAGATCAAGTTAATTATAGTAATCATGCTCTCGGAGCAAACAAGAAGCAACAAAAATTTATTTTCACACACGAACTCCTATCAAAATTAACCACGATCTCCTTAGAGCAAACTCTGCTTCACGAGCACCCTAGCACAGGAGTCAGCACTGTGCTGTGGGATGAATTACAGCATGGAAAGGCTTCAAAGTAGATTGCTGTCTAAGGGCAGGAAAATCTTAACTCTCTAAGAAGTCAAGCACCAGAAAAGTTGTGATGCACTATTTTCCCAGTTATGTAATAGAGGCAAGAAATCTTTTGGCCTCAGACAGAACTCCATTCTAATACTCCACAACTGCTTATTCCACATGCAGTCAAACTTATCTGTAAGCTGTAACACAGTAAGAAAACAAAGACAAAGAGAGCTATGTTTGGAGTCTTTACGTCATGGCAGTTCAGCTGTCCCAATAATGATGCCTATTGGCAACGTTAACTTTTCTTTAAACACTCTCAAGTGTTTAATAATCAATATCATCAGGCGACCATCAAAACCAGCCCATCGCCTCCCATTGCCTCAGTAAACTCGCATGCTCATCTCAAATCCAAGAAGTCCATATTGCGACCTTCACTTTGCAACCTGCTCTTCAATTCCAACCCCAACCTGCTGCTAAGATGGAACCAGTTACTTCTCCTCCTGGCTTTCTTTGCTATTTGGTTCCAAGCCAGAGAAAAAAAAATCAGTTTAGAAACCAATTTAAGTTCAACTGGTACAACTTTGGTTAGCCGGAACTTACACAGCACGAGGGAGACGGCCTCAGGAAATGCAGTTTTCCCCAGAATCACACAAAAGTTGTGAGGCAGGAAAGGGAAACAATGAATTTACACAAGGAGATCTTAAGAGGAGGAGAAAACAACCAACACATTCTTGGTTAAAACCTGGGGTTCTCAAAGAGCACAAGTGGAAATTTTACAGGCAACTCTCCATATTGGTTATTGCCAGAAGAGGAGGACAGTACTTTCCATCAATTAAAATGAAAGGGAAAAACAAAAACAAACAAAAAAAACCACACCTCAGTGAAAACACCTATTGAGAAGGGTGTTTATTTCAAACACAAAAGGCAACTCTGATCTGGCAGCATAGATGATGAATGAACTTTCCATCAAAAAGTTTAAATACATTTTTCCAATTTAAAACTCCAATATCCAGGGTTAACTCACTTAGCAATGGCCCACCTTGCAAACAGACGGTCAAGGAGCGTGCATGTAATTAAGTTTATTGGAAGTGGGAGTTTGGTTCTCCCTTCTGCCTGTAGGTCTGTAAATTGAGCTTTCTAGAAAGCCAACTCATGTTTAGGTCACAGCATTACCTGCTCATGTCTGCAGGACATTACGTAACAGCTGTGGGTCTCGGGTTGCCTTAGTACCATCAGTGGAAAAAGAGAGATGTCCCTGGACTAGTAACATGCATGGCACCGAGATGCAAGTTCTTATACACTTGCCTGTCTCACCAACCATGGAGAAATGGATGTAGCAAGCAAATCATGTCTGATAGATTCGACTCAAGTAGAAAAAAAAAAAAAACACAACAGCAACAAAAAAGAGCCAACAAATTACTTTTTGTATTTTTTTAATCCATTCCTCCTGCTTGGGAGTTGCACACACATCACCATCCCGCCCTCAAGCCACAGCTGCATTTCTCCAGGGCTACCCCAAAGGCCCTGCCAGCAGCTGGGCAACATCCTGCTCTGCACCATCACATTGTTTCGTTGTCCCTTCCCACCCTTAATCTGTCTGAAAAAGAGCCAACAAATTACTTTTTGTATTTTTTTAATCCATTCCTCCTGCTTGGGAGTTGCACACACATCACCATCCCGCCCTCAAGCCACAGCTGCATTTCTCCAGGGCTACCCCAAAGGCCCTGCCAGCAGCTGGGCAACATCCTGCTCTGCACCATCACATTGTTTCGTTGTCCCTTCCCACCCTTAATCTGTCTGTCTGAGCCACATGCTGCAGTCTCGTATCCCAGTGCTTGGATTACGGGAGGTTTAAGACAAGAACCGAGTTCTCACCCTGCCTTTCCACAGGCTCCAGGTGGGTTCCACGCCAAAGGGTTATTCAAAAGTCCTGCAACCTTCCAAGCACTTTCACATTGCAAAACAGCAAAAACCATCTTTCAGTCACCGTGAGCATTTTCTAACACACTTCCATGGGTTTCAGGATGGAAAACGCTAAGGTAAAAAGGATAAATTGATCTGAGTAGCAGCTTGTCTCTCTCAAACATTTTAACTTAGTTTCTAGTATATCTTTAAAATGATACATCAGCATCATTTTTTAAAGAAAAACTGTCGAAGGTGACTGCTAGATCTGGAAAGTCACCTGAACTTTTGAATGACTGTGCAGTAACTACAATACATTCAGAACAGAATGTCATTTTTAAAGAATGTTTATACTATCAGGGAGCTCTTTTGTAGTAGGAAAGTTTGTTGCATAAATCCCTACAAAGCAATTTTTAAGTGAAATGTAATATTAACATGTAATTTAATAATAATCACTCCAGGCTAAAGACTAAAACTCAGATCTCATATCCTCAAAACACATAAACCTAGTCCACCTACTAGTCCACCACTAGTCCATGGTGCTTTAAGCTGTCAAGAATAGCTACTCCAAAGTTGCAGTGAAGATTTTACATCTCCAGGAAATGTTTCCTCACACACTCCTGTAAAAGGCCTACACCACCCTCTAGGAAAGCATCCCAGGAGCACACCTAAATCCTGGAAGTGCACCCTGCTGTATCATCAGTGTAATTTAACCTTTACCACCCAACCCGTTAGGTAAGACGGAGACCTTACACTCACCTGGAACAGACTTAGTTGACTAATTTACAGCAGCATGCTGTGGCTTTCTACTGATGTAATTTCAGGTATAAAGCAGAGCTTTAATTAGAATGTCATAATTATGGACAGCCAAAAACTTCTGCTACCCCTACGATGCTGGCAGGCTTGAAAACTATCAGATCAGAAGAGCTGGCCTATTTCCAGTGCACCAAAAGATAGTCAAAACACAACACCACTAACAGACTTACAGCCTGCCCTTGATTTCTTCTTTAAAAAAAAAAAGAAAAAAAGGAAAATCCCAACTGCTGAATTAATACCTACAGAATAACAAAGCGTAACAATGCATTCACAGAGATTAAATACCAAGAAAAGGCAGATGATACCAGCAGTAACAATTTGGGGAATAGTTTCCCAGGGGAAGTGCTTGAAGTCCAAAACTTTGGGCTTAGAGAATTTAACACTACAAATGCAGGTTTTATGCATTGCTGAAAATTCAGCAGCGGTTCTCCAACAAAGCATCATTTTTAGAAGTTTACAGTCAAGACCTCATTGCAGTATGATCTGTACAAGGAAGGTACCAGACACTTAGACTTCCACATATGTGAAATCACACCTAGTTATTTGGATCTCACAGCCTAAATGGTCTACAAACAGACAGAAAAATACGTTGAAAGAAACAAGCATGTAAAAAGCTTTTAAATATTTTTTACAATTGACTGTAAGATTTTGAGGGGTAACAGCAATGACTACTGTGATGACAAGATCTCATGGAGTTATCTTTAAATTAGCACTTAAAACTTTACATTTTAAAATACTGTCTAAAGGTAGGAAGTTTTTGAAAGCTGAATGAAGGAGTGCAGAAGTTTGGCTTTTACTGCTTTTCAGGATGGTGATGGTGCTTTAAGCGTCAACTTGTACAAGATTAAAAAATATATACATATTTTAAAAGAATCCTACAAGGTCAGCGAGCCAAGGAGAGAAAGAGGCACAAGTATTTACCCCAGAAAAGGAGAGAGAAAAGCAACATGAAGAGCAAAGAATGAAAAAAGCAATGATCTGCCTTTGTCAGGCGGAGATGAAGACTTATTAACTACCAGTCAGTGCCAAAAGGGACTTTTTTTTTTTTTTATTGCACAGGACCTGTCCCATGCGTTAACAGTTTGCAGGTTCAAGGAAGACACTTTGCTAATCCTACGGGACAAACATTGCATTTTACTATGTTGGCGCCCAGCAGGCAGCATCACAGGGAACTGTGGTATTTACCGAGGCCTGTCTGCACTGCCGAGCCGCAAGCAAAAGCCCAGACAGAGATAACACAGGGACATCACCATTAGACAAAATATTTGGAGCAGTGACTATGGTTATCTCAAAAATAGCTGTGGTAGAAAGAAGTAAACCAAGGCAGTAACCTTAAAATTTCAAGTAAATAAGGCAAGAGGAGAGAAAGTGCAGCATCAAGAGGCAGTTTTTAAGTTAGAAACCCCAGGGAGGCACAAGTCAATATAGGAAAACAACCTAAACTGCCCAAACTGCTTTCCCAAACTGAACAAGACAGAAAGGACAAGCAAGAAAAAGCTGGAGAAGAAGGGGAAAATAGTTTGGGAATCTGGGCAGGGACCAATTAAAGAAAGATGATTTCAATAGCACAGAGCACAAAAATAAGATTGCAAAAGGCCAAGAAGGAAAGAAGTCAAGGCAAGGAGAATAAAGAACACATTGCAGAAGAGCAGTCTTAAAGTGAAAAAGTCAGCACAATGGAGAGAAGCACACAGTTCTTAAGGCAATATCTTAAAAAAAAAACCACAGAAAGAAGAATCAGTATGTTTTTGGGGAAAAGCAAGAAAGATTTATGGAAAATAAAGTTAAGGAATGGAATCAGCAGGGCTTAAGGTAGTAAGCAAGAGGTAAGGGCAGAGTTGCACTAGAACTGACATCAGGGTTAAGAGAGAAAGTAAATAAATAAATTTGAGGAAATGAAGATCCTGGGAACAGGCTCCCTCTTTTCCCAGTATGAGCTGATCTCTGTTTTCTAAGACTTTAGATGGGAGGAGCCAATAGCTCCAAGAGAGGAAACATGCAAGCCCTAGCTTAGCAGCCTCAACAGTTGAAGTCCTGATCCTGTTAAATAAAAAAATTATTTAACTTTATAATTCAATTTAATTTTAATGAGGCCACACACATCACCAAAGATCAACACATGCAAACCTAATGGACATTTGCCCACTATGTCAAGAAAAATCACACACATGCATGGCTGGGAGTTAAATTACCACAGCAAGGGAGAAAAATCAACAAAATTAATGCAGTGAGAGGTCTAACAGTTTAGATTCCCTCTCCCAAAACTAGTCTAGAGGGCTTCGAAGTAAAGTTCAAGAAAGTTCAAGCTTAAAACCGGAAAAACACAAGCGTCTACAGTTCCTAACCACAGCAGAAAGCAATCCCTTCCCAAATGTTCTCTAAAGCGTAGCATTAAAATAGTGGACAACCAGCTTTTCCAACAAAACGCACAACTCTCTTTTGGGGGGAGGAGGGGTAAGGATGTGCAAATCCTCACAGACTTTCAGCCTATTTGCTTTTCAGGTAGTCATTGTTATTTCACATTTATCTGCTACACACACACTCCAAATTCTGTTTCTGTGTGCTTAAAATTCCTACATTTCAATTTGAACGCCTTTAGATTCGTGAATTTCATGGAAAAAGGAAACAAAACAAAACAAGCCCAGGAAGAAGTTATTCGCCCGCTCCGCTGTAGGCCACGCATGGTTTTATCGTATTTGCCCTCCTTCAGAGCGAGAAGCTCCACGGCGACCGAGGGTTTCCCCCCGCCCGCCCCGCCGCCGGCGGTTGTTTATGACTCGCCGCCCGGCCAGCGCGCAGCCCTGAGGCCTCTTTGGCTTCTTGACAACTATTACAGGCGAGAGGGGGGTTCCCTCCCCCTTGTCCCCCCCCAGAGAGGGGGATCAGCCCCAAAACATTCCTCCTCCTCCCTTCTGCCCCCCCTCCCGCAGAAGGATCGCGTCCGCCCGCCCGCCCACGTGGGCGCCGCCTGCGGGGCCCACAGCACAACCCCGGGGGGACAAGGGCCGGCCGCGCAGGCTCCGCCGGGCCCCGCAGCGAGCCCGGGGCCACGCCGTGCAGGGAACAAAAGAAAAATCCTCACCGCACACGCAGCAGGAGAGGGACTGCCTGAAGTAGGGCAGGAGCTTGTTAATCTCGGTAAAGGACTGGGGGTCCCCCGGGTCGTAGTTGAGCACCAGGCGGCTCGCTGAAACGTAGAGAGCAGTGGCATTCACCGGGTTCA